TAATAAATAATAAATAATAAATAATAAATAATAAATAATAAATAATAAATAATAAATACTAATATAGAATATATTAATATTATGCATTAAAAAATAAAGGAATAATAAATTAAACACAAATTAAAATTAAATTAAATTAAATTATATAATAAAAATAATAAATTATAAATAAATAATAAATAATACAAAAAATGAATAAATAAAATAAAATTAAATATAAATAATAAATAGTAAATAATAAAAAAAAAAATTAATAATTAAAAAATAATAATTAATAAACAATAGAAAATAAATAATAAATAAAAAGTAATACATAATAAATAATAAAAAAAATAAATATATAAATAAACAAAAATAATTAAAATAATATTAAATAAATAATTATATAAATAAATGTTAAATAAATAAATAATATTAAATAAATAAATACTTAATAATAAAGAGTGGACAATAATACAATAATAAATAATAATCAATATCAATCAATAATAATATCTAGCAGAAGTCTTATCTCAGCTAACCATCCATTTGCTGTATTCACAGTAATTTCCAGTCTCCAATATTATGAATCTTTCCCTCTCTCTCTCTCTCTCTCTCTCTCTCTCTCTCTCTCTCTCTCCTCACTTCAGCTGTTCAAACAGAGCATAAACAAACCATTTTATAACATAGTTTATGGCCTTATCGGCGAGTTATATGAACCCAATCACAGCTATATAGAGTACTTTCAATTCCGAATGCAGCCCTCGTCCGGGGCATAGATAGTGTAGAGTCCAGCCCTGGATGGGCTTTGCCGAGTTACTTAATCCGGCTTATTATGGACGCTCTGTTTGGTTTGCCTGTTGATTTGTTGAGCTGCCTGCGTCCAGTTTTATTTCGCGCTGCGATTATATACGAGTAATTTTTGTAGCTTTTTCGCTGTTTCTCCACTTTGTTGTTGTTTTTTTCTCTTTTCTTTTCATAATATCTGCAAAACAAAATTCGTTTGGCTGCACTTCAAATGATTCGCTGCTGTTGTTTTTGTTGTTGGCAAATTTTTGTTACCTTGCCAAATTTCTGGGGCTTATCCAGCCCAGCAATCGCTGCACTGTGCAACAAAATAATAATTTTCACTTAATTATCTAATGAACAAACAAAACCTTAGACATTAGGCTGAAATGATGTTTGGATATTCGATTATTTTTTTGTTTTTTGCGGTTTTTTTTTTTGTTTTTGGAATTTTGCAAACTGATTTTTGAGAGCTGAGCTCGGCTTTTGACCCGCTGACGACGATGTGGACATAGCTAATGATTAAATTGCTGAGAGTTGCAGTGAAATTTGGTGTGTTTATTTTAGCATTACGTATACGCAGCGTTATGCAAGCCAATTGCTGGTTACAGTTAATGAAAGACAGCAGACAGCCCAGAGACTAGCAGATAGTCGCAGCCGCAGCCGCAGCCACAACTCAGCATTTAACTAAAATTGTTTACTTCATCTTCTCTCTCTCTCCCTCCTCTCTCTTGTTGCAGGATGAAATGCAGCTGCCACCCACGCAGCAGCAGCACAAGCAGCACTCGCTGCAGCATTTGGATCAATGCGGCCTCACGCAAGCCGGCCTGGAGGAGTACAACATACGCGCCTCGTCCTACTACGATCAGACAACGTTCCATCATCAGAAGCAAGCGTCCTATGCACAGTCCGAGGGCTATCACAGCTACGTCTCCAGCTCCGATAGTACGTCGGCCACACCGTTCCTAGACAAGTGAGTTGAGTGCTTTAGGCAATTGCTAAACATGTTCGCTCAAAGCGACAATTATGAATGCTATTTGCCAGACAGACAAACACACACACACACATACATAGATGTACATAAAAAAAAAGTGATTAAATGTGATTCTTGGTAAAGCAAATAACAAACGTCGCATATGAGCCATAAAAATCAAATAAAAATGAAAAGACCACTAGAAGCACCAGAAGAAAACAACACAAAAACCCAACTAGCTTAACTTTCAAGGTCTTGGCAGACAGACTCGAGTTGCTCTATTGTACTTGCTTGAAGAGAGTTTTTTTTCTTGTTTTTTTTTTTTTATTATATTTCTTATTATTTTATTTTATTTTGCGACTTGTCTAACGCCATCGAAATGCGATTTTGAAGGCTAAGCTGAAATTCGAGTAATTACGGTCATGCCCAGCTATATATATGTATGTAGAGGCCTCCATGTGCCGGCCATTGTAGAAGGAAACGCCAAAAAAAACATGACAGACACAATTTTCTTCTTCTTTTGGCAGTTGGCTAGAGAAAATGCCCAAGTGGGGTATATTGGAGAGGCTGGAAATGTGGGTGAGAGCTGGCAGGGAGGGATGGGCTGTAGATACTTATATATAGTTGATTGTGATATAATATGAGTGGACTCTATGTATGAGCTCTGATCTGTCTGTCTGTGAGTTCCTCTCTCTCTCTCTCTCTCTCTATCTCTTTCTCTCTTTGTATAGGGTATTTTCTAGTCATTCACATTGTAGTAGATCACTTTTATTTCACTCATTTCAGTATTTTATGTAGTCAACGCCACAGCACGCAATGATTTTGCCATATTTGCTATATAGTAGTAAACCTTCTCTCTCTCTCTCTCTCTCTCCCTCTCTCTCTTTATATGTATTTTAATGTATTTCTTTCTCTTTTGCAGATTACGTCAGGAGAGCGAGCTGCTCTCGCGCCAGTCGCATCATTGGTCTGAGAACGATCTCAGCTCTGTTTGCAGCAATTCGGTGGCTCCCTCGCCCATTCCGCTGCTCAATAGACAATGCAACAGCCACGGCAACGGCAATAGCAACAGCTCCCAGCATCACAGTCCCAATAGCAACAACAACAACAACAACAACAACAACAACAGCTCTGAGAGCACCTCCTCAACGGAAACACTGAAATGGCTTGGCTCGATGAGCGACATTTCAGAGGCGAGCCATGTGACGGGCTACAGTGCCATTGCCGAATCGGGTGAGTGCAATAGATAGAAGAACTCGTTGAATTTGAGGAGTAGAGATCATATAGGGATAGATGGAAGTTTGGGATAGGGATTCAGTTGAAAATTAAAGAGATTGTCAATCTAGTTCATAGGTAATCACTTTTAGATATAATAAGGTATGGAACATAGTTGAGTTATAATAGGAATCAATATATCCCAACTGAAATAGCTCAAACTTGGAATTCAATAAGACGTAATGCCCTAAGCTAGGAACTCTTGCAATCTTCATAAATATATTGCAGTTTCAGCTAAGAGCTGATCTTCAAAAAAATTAATAAATAGTTTTTTACTTCCACATTAGCGACATTCTTATATATCTTATTCTTAATATATCTTAAATATTATTTTCAATAAAAATCTAATTTCATCGCGGAAGACTTTTAATTAGGTTTTATTGAAAAAGGAAATGAGCTTTAATTGAAATGGAATCTTGAATGAATGGGCTGTGAAATTCAATTAAAATACACATAAACAGTTGTTGAGGCAGCTTAAAAATATATATGTATATTATGGGTATTCCTGCTAATTGATGGACTGTAAATGCTCTGCAACTCATTCAGTTTTGCTTAGAGCTTGAAAAAAATTTTAATTTACGCTGGCATACCTCTAATATGCTGCAAATAAACATTTTATGGCTAAGCCTTAATTGATATAATATTAATATATTGACTGTGTATGCCTAAATTGAGCTGTGCTCTACAGATGGAAATATTCTTAGTATAAATATGTACTTCAATTGCTAATCAAGTCAAACGCAGCATATTTTATCTACTGGAATACCCCTAATCTTAGTAATTTTCTTGTCAACCCCTTCAGCAGATCCTTATTGAGCTCTGTATAGGAATAACCTTAATGTAAATATATATTTTATTTATTTCCTCAACATAATTTTCATTTTCTACAAGCATACCCCTAATATTAATGCTGCCAATACTTGAATGCAAATGGAGCTCTGCTCTATCTATAGAAATATATCTAATATAAATGGGCATTTCAATCGCTATTTATCTGCTGGAGTACCCCTATTATTAATCTGTATATCAGCCACACGCCACACGTCACGATCGTGACTTTATCTAAATTGTTTCGATTAGCAGCGCTGTTAAATACTTTTAGAAGTCTGCTGAAACCAGTTGCTGCCCATTTTGTATTTTATTTTTTGGCGACTGTTGGCCACTCACATTGGTGGGGGGGGGCAGCAGCGACCTTGGGTCAAATTGTGGCTTGGCCCCCACGACCCACTTTTACTGGGCAAAGCAGCGACAGAGACAGAGAGGGAGACAGAGAGATAGCGAGAGGGACAGCGCCTATAGCTCATTAGAATGTCGCCATTGAATTTGTTCTCTCTATATTGAAACTTTGTTCTGTTCTCCATTGCAGTTTCCTCCTCGCAGCTGATTGTGCACAGCTCCCGGGTGCTGACGCCCAAGCGGCATCAAAGCGAGAGCGTGCTCTATCTGCACGACAACAGCGAGCCAACAGCAGCAGCAGCAGCAGCAACAGCAACAGCAGCAGCAACAACAGCAACTCCTGCTGCTGCTGCCGCTCCTGCTTCCACTGCAGCTGCATTGCCCGCCAGCCAGTCGATCTCAGAGGATGTGATGTCGCCGCTGCCACGCATCCAACATCGTCACAGTCCCAGCTACCCGCCGGTGCACACGTCCATGGCGCTGCATCGCTTCCAGCAGCAGCAGCAGCAACACTTGCCAATCAATTACAAGCTGAGCGCACAAAGTTCCTTGCCCGAGCTGGAGACAACAGCAGGAGCAGCAGCAGCAGCAGCAGCGCCAGAGTCTCGCTCCCACCTGGGCCAATCGCAGTCGACAGGTGACCTGCAGCTGCACAAGTCAAGCATTTCGGTGACCATATCGAGCAGCGAGGCGGTGGTCACAATAGCACCACAGCCGCCGCCCAGCAAGCCGCAGCTGAGCAAACTGGAGCTGCACAGCTGCAGTGCACCCAATGTGGCCATCACGAGCAGCAGCAGCAGCAGCAGCAGCCACTCGCCAACCTTTTCCAGCAGCGCCAACGACTCGTATCGCAGCAATCATCGCCTCTTCCCCGTCAGCACCTACACAGAGCCGCTGCAGAGCAACAGCTCGCAGTATGTGCAGCATCCGAAGCCGCAGTTTAGCGCGAATCTGAACAAGTCCATCAAGTGAGTGGAAACAAATCTCTTTAAATACCTTCTCAAACAACTCTCTCCTCTTGCCTCTCTCCCTTAGACATCCTGTGATAACGCCCGCTGGTTCGGCTGTGCAGCCCGCCTGGCATTCGGTGGCCGAGCGCATCAACGACTTTGAGCGCAGCCAAATGCTGGAGACACCGAAGTTTGCCTACCTGGAGCCCAGTAAGACGCATCGGCTATCGAATCCCGCTCTCAAGGCGCTGCAGAAGAATGCCGTGCAGTCCTATGTGGAGCGCCAGCAGAAGGAGGAGCAACAGCTGCTGCGCTCTCAGTCGCACTCGCAGTCGTATCAGGCGCTGCAGCAGATCGAGCGCAAATCGCTGCCCAACAAGCTGAGCCCCCTGATGGTGGGCTTGCCCAGCACCAACTCCAACTCGAACTCCAATTCGAACTCCAATTCTGGCTGCAGTTCACCCACACCGCCGCCGCCGCCGCCTCGCTCCCGCTCGCTGCTGCCCAATCTGCTGCGTCGCTCCAGCTCCGCCTCGGACTATGCGGACTTTCGGGAGCCGCAGCCGCAGCAGCAGCAGCAGCTGAAGCCGCCGAGCATACGGAACATAAGCAGCGCTGAGAAATTGTCGTTCAATGATTGTGGCATGCCGCCGCCGCCGCCACCGCCGCGCGCTCGCATAGCCATGCCCACGCGGCGCACCTCCTCGGCCACGGAATACGCGCCCATGCGGGAGAAGCTGCTGCTGCAGCAGGCAGCGGCGCTGGCCCATCAGCAACATCATCCGCAACAGCATCAGCCACATCACTCACATCATTCGCATCAGGCGCAGCAGCATCATCATCGTCCGGTGCAGCATGTGTATGAGCGGCCGCCCGAACGTCCGCCCAAGCAGCCCCATTTGCGTGTGCCCTCGCCGGAGCTGCCGCCCCCGCCGCTGGGCGCCGAGCTGGATACGAGCTATACGTTCGATGAGCCGCTGCCACCGCCACCGCCGCCGGAAGTGCTGCAGCAGCGGCCGCCGCCATCGCCGAATCGTCGCAACAGCTTTGCGGGCGCAGCCACAGCGAAGCCCACGCTGGCGCCGAAGGTGCCGCCGCAGGTGCCCAAAAAGCCAACGAGTTTGCGGCAGGTGAGTCTCCAAAAATAATAAATACAAGTGAATCTCACATGTGTTAACTACTCTCAACTTCCCTCTCTCTCTGTCTCCCTCTCTCTCTGACAGCTGCCACAGCAGTCGCTGTCCAATGGCGCCGTCAAGCCCACAAATCTGCCCACAACAAACAGCCGCAAGCGGCCGCACAACAATCCACCGCCGCCCATCCTGGAGAGCGCCGGGGCACAGCCGGCGCCGCCTCCGCTGCTGCCGCGCGCTCGTCCCACGCCGTGCCACGCCGCTGACAGCGTTATAGCCAGCAATCTGGAGAGCAATCAGCACAAGCGGTAAGTGCAGCACAGCTCTGTGCATCAATCATACGCCCCCCCGTTTGCCCACCCTGCCCTTGCCTCTTCCTTAGATTGCATATTATATTATTTATGTTTTCATTTGGCGGCCTCCTCAAGTGTTGCCGGGTTTTTCCGATTTGAGAAACTAGCGGGAAATATGTGAATGTTGTGGGAGTTCGAGTTAAGGTTGGGTCAAGCACTTGGCAGGTAGTTTATACCAACTGCTAACCATGTGAGGGACATGTTTGATGAGCTCTTGTATAATTGCTATGCATGTCTAGCTTTTGTTTAGCTTAAGGCTCAGCTAAAGCTCCTTCGAAATTTGATTAAAGTGCTCTTTAAGCTTTAATGCACATTGCAAGCTTATTAAAGAAAGTGCCTGAGCTTTATTTTCAACTAAGAGCAGAATGCTTGCAGCTTATATTGAAAACTTAACTGAAGCTACTAAAGCTTCTTCGCTAGCTAGATTTCTAGCTGAAAGCTTAGCACAATTGCCATTGATATCCAAATAATATGAACTAATTTTGACTTGAAGTGATAGAAACTTCTTAAGGCTTGACATTATTAATATAATAATGTCAATAATATAATTATATTAATAATATAATATATATTAAGCTTTTCTGATAAGCTTTGCAGAAGCAAATAAAGACTTTATCCTTGTGGCATTCGTTTAGCTGTCTTGAAAAAATATAATCAAGCAAAACTTAATCCGAATGTAACCAGCTTGAAGAGCTTTATACGATCAACCATAACAACATCTTCAAATTGATATTATAAAGCTAATATCACAACACTATAAAGACTTCTCAAGTATTGCATAGTAAGCGTAATACCAGTAAAACTATAATCAATCAGTTTGATTAATATGACGCTTACTATTCAATCTAAGTCATAATCATAACCATAATCATCATTAAATCTGATTAATTTTAGAACTTTGCAATGCAAAAGAGCAGAGTCTCTAAATTAAAATTCAAACATTGGAAATAATTTTTACTGAAGGCTATAACAGACATTAAAAAAGTAAAGAAATAATTTTACGTAGCTCTTAACTAAAATCTTTTTACAATGCAGCAGCTCTACCTAATTTCAAGACTTCATCAAAAATCGTATGCTTTTTCAAGAGCTTCAGCCTTTTGTTCTGCCCACTTCAGCTCGCTTAATTTCAGCTAATGTCATTTGGCATTTGACTACTTCAGCTAATGTCATTTGGCATTTGAAAACGATTTGTTGCCTCAGCTTCAATTAAATTTGGTTTTTATTGTGCGTGGAATTGGAAGTCATTTGCTAGCAACTGATCCAATAATAAGCAAATGGCTTAAGCTCGCATGCCAGCCTTGGGCTTTTGCTCCATATAAAGCACGCATACATATACCTATACACTCATACACATGCATCAACAGATTTGGCATTTGTGGATTTAGAGTCGCAAATCGCATTTTCAGTTTAACCATGACGCGCCTCGCTCATTGTTCTTGACCTTATCGAATCCAATTAACTTTTGTGGTTGCTGGTATTTGAATGCGGTGCGTGTAGCACAGTAGCCACTGAATCAGCGAGCCACCGAACCACCGAGCCACTGAGCCATAAGCTCCATTGACTTTTTGGCTAATAAGCCGCTTCCTTTGGCCCGTCAATCAGCTGTCGTCTAATGTTCACTGAGCAGCTGTGAGCTGTGCCTGTGCCTGTGCCTAGCGTCTAATTGGATTATGAAACACACACAGACACACACACACATACACACACATATATTGACTGCACTGTGTAGCATAAATCAAGCAAATCAAGCGAATCAAGCCAATCGACTGTTCACTTTCGCTTTTTAGTGTCCATTGTGGGTGACCCAATATTCCAGAAAACCCAAACGCCAAAACGAAAAAAAATAGACAAACATAAAAATCGTTAAAAAATTGTTTTTACAAAAATCACACAATTAGGAGTGCTCTAGGCGGGTATGCCTGACTCAGGTATACCTTGAGCTTACATTAGCTGGACATATTCCAGTTCCTATTTATGCAGATATATCAATATATATGGACATGCATGTAGAATCCTAATAATGCGAAATGTCAGGGGAATTTTTTTTTTTTTTTTTTCGATTTATATATTAGATATTAGAATTATTGAGAACGAATTTCTTTCAAGGGAATAGAATTTTTTCGATTATGTAGACTCGACGGTACTTTGTGTTTTTTATCGTGTTCCGAAAATCCATACAAAATGGGTTTCTGGAATAAATTCATATCTAAATTTTCGATCTGAGAAGATATTTTCTGAATATTATTAATTAGGGCTTATTTCAATTCAATCTTAGGCAGTTCCCATTCACTAAGAAATTTATCAAATGTCTCTTCAAAAGCTTTTTCCAATTTGCGTATGTAAGAAACTTTAAAGATAGTTCTTAAAGATGACTTGCTCTATTATCAAAGCTTAAATCCTTCCATATTGACTCTATAATATTAAACTTATCAAGAGGTCAGCCTCCACTCAAACTATTTTCCATGCTGTACAGGGTGTATAAAAAAAAACTCAAACGGGCGCACCTGAGCAACAACAACAACAACAACAACAACAACAGCGGCGGCGGCAACAAAATGTGTCAACAATTTATGTTGCAGCTCCTGTGGCATGTGTCGCTATCAAAGAGTAGGTGTCTGTCTGTGTGTGTGTGTGTGTGTGTGTGTGTGTGTGTATGTGTGTGTGTGCCTGTTGTATAAGTTCTTTGTTCTGTTTGTGATTGTAAAAGCAAAACGAATTGAAAACGAAAAAAAAAAGCCCCAAACATAATCGAAATATCGAAAAGTTATCTGGTAAGGGGCTACCCCCGTTATAATACCAGTCTATAGGCAGATACAAATATCTCTCTCGAATATATAGAGACATAGATATATGCACAAAAGGTCCATTCTTTTGCTGGTATTTGACATTGATAGATGAACAAATTTGGTTTTGGGTTCATTAGCGAGGCGCGTAGTATAATAATATTTTTTGCACCCACTGTATTAGATGACTGGGTGCGGGCATTAGATAACCAGCCACCAAATGGAGCAGCAACAAGATGTTGTTGCTGTTGTTGTTGTTGTTGCAAGCTCAATAATTTCTGTGGCCTGTCATGTATTTAGTTTTCGGTGTTTTTTTTTTTTTTGGTTTGTTGCTTTTGGTTTGGATTTGCTTTTGCTTTGTGTGGTGGCTCTGACACCGTGGCAGACCTTTGCGGCACGATTTGTTGCAGCACATCCAGCACGAGACAAATATTGACACAATTTGTGGCAAGTCTTTTATTTAGTTGGGCTTGTCTTATGTGTGTTGCCGTGTTGTTTATATCCCGCTAAACGAGGAGTTCAAATGCCGTTTCAATCGTGCCTCATTTGCATTTTGAAAGTTTTGGTACGCCTTCGCCTCAGAGTGCTGAAATTGGAGCAAAGGGCAGGCGCATTTCCTTGGTGCTTTGTTGTTGCCAGCAGAGCTGTGCAGTTGGCCATCTTTCACTTATGTGAGACTGTTCTAGCCTTTTTTTCTTTAGCTAATAAATATATCGAGGCATTTCTTAGTCGTGCATGCCCAACTGGAGCACATTTATTTGCTGTAAAGTCCTTTAATCCATTTTTGTTTTGGGCGTCATCTGTTTCAACACTTTACGTAAGACGTCCGACAACACTGACCTGCACAAGCACACACATATCCACACTCACACACACACACGCTGGCAGGCACTCACACTCATCGAGTAATCAGTGCATTTGGCTGACAGCTCGTATTTTTTTTTCGCTCATTAATTGGCCACAAACAACCAAAAAAATAGCACCTACGGCCACTTGGAGTTAGCCTGCTTGGAGGTGTGTCAATTCTGGTTGCTTTGGTTGGCTTTTCTTGATATCTTTTCGGTTTTGCTTTAGTTTTCGGTTTGGTTTTGGTCTGCCAAGTGTTCTGGACAGGCGCTAATTATCGCCTGCTGCCCAGGCCCAACGATTTGAATTAATTTTCCATGGCAATTTGGCTGGCACAGTGCATGCACAGTGCAGCTAAATAACTACGGACGGCTAGCGTATTATTTTCAAATTAACTGCCAGCTCGATTGCGCACACGCGGCGTATGCGAAATAAATCACTCATGCGCCCCGCTGCCCGAAAGGAAAACTAAAATACTCCAACTGCAAGACAATTCAATTTGCGAGACACTCGCAATGCGATGCAGTCGCCATGATTAGCAGACAGACACAGACAGAAAAAATAAAACTAAATAAGCCAGAAGAAAAGAAACAACAATAAAATCGAGCTCCCAGCGTCGACGTCGTCGTCGTCGTCGTCGTGCGCAACATTTAACAAAGTGCTTGCCATAATTTTGGCGCTATCGCCAGCTAAATATCGACAGCAATGATCGATTGAACTTTGCCAGAGAATATTGCGCAAAAATCGCAACAAATAGACAGGCATACACACATACCCATATATCAATACATATATATATATATATATGTGTATATACACAAAAGGCGATTGCATTTAATGCACATTTATTTTATGGTCAACGCCAAGTTTATCGCATTTTGTTTTCGTTGCCTTCTGCTTTATGTACGCTGCGCCGTTTTTTAATGAAAATCATATATTATATAGTTATTTTTTAATAATATTCTGCATTTAAGAATTTTATTTCTACTTAAGCTTTAGAGTAAAAGCGGAAAATTAAAATTTCGTCGACTGAAGTCTGCTAAAAATTGCATTGCCTACTTTTGAGCGCCATTCAATATTTATCTGCACCGCTCAAAAGTATGCAGCAGATTTTTAACATGCAATAGAAAAGCTAAAAATCCATGTGGTCAAATGACTAATTATATCAAAAGTCATTTGCTAGACGATAAGGGGCCAATAATCTTTCATTCAAACCAATAAAAAAATACGTCTTATTTCTTAGCGAATTTCGTTTGAAAAAACTGACCAATAACCCTGAATTATGGTTGCGCACTCATGACTGAAATGATAAGGGCACAAGTCAAA